ATTTTATCCCAGACTGCTTTTGAGCTAGTGGAAGATGTTATGCTAGAAACATACTTCCTCCAAGAATCCCTTTGGCTTTGCCTTCTTATTCTTCTGGCATTTGCCTTCGCTTTTTTAAAAGCTATCAAATTTCTAGCAGTGGGCTATCAAATCGTTAGTAGTGGAATATCTTCTGAAAATTCCCCATGCTTTCTTTTGTGCTTTAAATGCTGCCTCGCAATTTGGATTCCACCATGGTTTCGGATGCTTTGGATATCTAGTTGATGTTTTCCCCATTGTTTTTTCCGCTGCCTGAATAATAGTAGAAGTGACAACTTCAACTGCATCATTGATATCAGCAGTATTGGCCATTTCCTCAGTGATGTTAGCCATAGAGGAGAATACAGGCCAATCTGCCGTTTCCAGTTTCCAGCGTGGTGGACGGGCTGTTTCACAGCTTTCTCTGCCTCGATATTTTAGAAATATTGGGAAGTGGTCACTAGAGAATGGATTAGATCCAACCTCCCATGTAAATGCTGAAAACAGAGTCGGAGTTGCTAATGATAGATCAATGGCAGTGAATGTTCTTGTTGGGGCATGGAAGTATGTCACTTCTCCTGTATTAAATAAATATAACTGCTGATTGCCTATGAACCTTTCAATGGTCCTGCCTCGACGGTTAATGTCGGGACTGCCCCACATTGGATTGTGACCATTGAAATCACCTAGTAAAACAAATGGAGTAGGCAACTGTTCAACCAAAGCATCCAATTCATCTTCGTTGACTCTGACATCTGGTGGCAAGTATATAGAACAAACCGTGACAGTTACTCCAATAGAAATTCTGACTGCCACAGCTTGCAGCTCTGTTGTTATTTGTACCGGCAAGGATGGGGTGCGGTTGGAAACCAGAATAGCCACACCACCACTTGCACGGTTGTGGCTATCATCATCCTTGCGGTAGAGATCAAATCCTTTTAAAGTAATTCCCTCTCTAGGTTTCAGATGAGTCTCCTGGAGTGCCACGCAGAGAGATGAGGTAGATGATGTCAAGTGTTTAATGTCAGAGAAGTTGTTGCGAAAACCACGACAGTTCCATTGGATTATTTTATAATCCATTATGTGTTTGAGGCAGCATTCTTAGAAAAAGTGTCCCTCTTCAGTTTAACTGATGATTTTCCTTTTGGAGGTGACGTTGGTTGGGTTACCTCCATATTATTCTCTTCATCAGAGATATCAGAGAACTCACTCATGGACTGAGCCTCTGATTTTTTAGATTTAGAGAGAGCTGCTTTCACTCTCTGTTTGTTTAGTGGGTTCTTATTAGCCTTTTTAGAACCCAGGTTTCTTGTAATTACCCCTGTTTTAGGCAGGGGTGTTTTTCCTTTTGTGATCTCCTTTTCTGGTGTTTGTGTAGACGGGAGTATTAAACATTTCGCATGGCGAGTAAGAGATTCGCTTGGGGAGACAGAGATATCAGTTTGAACCCCACATGACATTGTGGATTTCAACACAGAAGCAAATGTTTTCTGTTTCACTACTGTGCTTTGAGTGACCATTCGCCGAGCCTCCGGGTATGGTATGTTGTTAATGGTTTTTACTCGCTGGATTTCTTTCTCTCTCTGCCATGCTAGGCATTTTCGAGAGTAGGCAGGATGGGCATCTTTGCAATTCACACAGCACGGAGTAGTGGTACACTCAGTACTCTCGTGACCTTCAGTTCCGCACTGTGCGCATATGCTTTTCCCTCGGCACGATGTTTGTGAATGTCCAAATCGCTGGCATTTAAAGCAACGCAGCGGATTTGGAACATATGGGCGAACTGGGCAGCGCAGATAACCTGCTGTAATAACAGATGGCAAAGTCGGTTTATTAAATGTCAAAATAAGGTGTTTGGTGGGAATCAACTTGCCATCTCGACGAATGGAAATGCGTCGGACAGCAGTGACACCTTGGTCTGAAAGGCCAATCTGAATATCTGATTCATCTTCAGATATCAGATCGATCTCAGATATTACCCCACGTGATGAGTTTAGGCTCACATGTGGGGTGACAGTGACTTCCATTTCTCCTAGGGTCTTTGTTTCCAGAAGTTTTGCCGATTGTTGTGGGGAAGCTGTTTCCACCAGTAAATCTCCAGATCTTAATTTTTGTATTTTTTTCAACTGTCCTATGGTCGATTCAAACAATTTTTGAATCAAGAAAGGAGAAGCTTTAGCCAAGGGTTTTTCTCCGGTTGCGTGCACTACTAAGAACGCTGGATTAGTGGAGATTTTTTTGTTTGTTTTTGTTGTTGGTGCACAAGAACTTTTTGAATTTTTTGAATCCATAATTACAGAAAAAATTCAGCTCCTAGTGACCCCACCCACCATGGGGCCCAACAAGGGGATGCCGTCACATGGGAGACTCCCATAGACCGTCACACCAGGGTTTCCCAGGAGCTATACCCTCACAATGCAGTCAAGAAGAGCACATCTTGTCTGACATGTCCGCCCGGTCTGCATCGATCGGTTGACTCCAAGCCGAGGTCAAGAATGACTCAACGACCAGCCGATTGACTCAAACGGAGCCTGATTTGAGCCTCCCGTTTATCCGAAGCAGGGGCCAAAGCAGTGTGTTGGGGATGCTATGTTGCCCCTCAACTACCAGGATCCTCCTTTCCGGCATACGGGACACCACGCACGGCAAACACGTGGGTGGGCGTTCAGATCCCAGGGATGGTAAAGAAGAGTTACTAAACCATCTCTGGGAGGTCCCCTCACCACGGACAGGAACCCACATCGAGGGGGAGGGACTCTGTGAGAAGCTTGAAACATTGCTAGGGGGGAAACTTTCACCAGCCATCAACAGACTTCATGAGGAGTTTTCTTCTAATCGGCTTAAAGATTTAACAACAAAACTTGAAAATCTATCCGACACTGCAAATCACAAGAAATTGGAACAAAGGCTCCAAGAAATGGATATAAAACTTGATAAAACTGCCAACATTAACGAACAGGTGAGAAACAATGTTGATCACCTCTTGGACAGGCTAGATCTTGAACTTCCGATGACTCAAATGGAGGGAATAAATGAAAAACTTTGAGGACGGACCAATTGAAGAAATCTTGAAAAATCAAAGATGTATCAATAAACAAATAAAACAACTAAGTACCCATTCTCCTCCTAGCAGCACGCAACATTCATATAGTGCTGTCCTCCAGTCTGGAAGCTCTATTGAATGCTACAAAGGTGCCCAGAATTAAAAAAACAAAACAAAAGTCTTGCTCCTATACAACAAAGAAAACAACTGCAATAAGCTTAGGAGGACCATTCGTGAGGATATCAAACCGTCTTGCCTTCAGATAGGAATTGATAACATAAGAAATATCAGTGGGGGCGGCTTGGCTATTGAAACAAAGAACCAACAGGATACTGACAGACTACAGGAATACATCTCAAAAGAAATCCCACAGATCGAAGTTAGAAAACCGAAGAAACATTTTCTCCACGTTGTCATATACTCAGTGTCAAACAGTATTCCAAGGGAGGAACTTCCGGGCATTATTTACAGTCATAACGCTTGCATCTATGAGAACTGCACTGAGGAAGAATTTTACGAGGCACTCAAGATAAAATTTGGCATGGGAAAGAGAGACATAAATTACACAAACTGGGTTGTCCAGGTTACAACAAGTTTGCGCAAGAGTTTGCTGATCATGGGGAAAATCTCAATTGAATGGACCAGGTGCAAAGTATCGGACTTCTGTCCGGTACTCCAGTGCTACAGGTGTTGCAGATTTAGGCATTCTGCCAAATCCTGTAGTCAGGAATCACCAACATGTAGCCACTGTGCGGGCCAGCACTATTTCAAAAACTGCGATTGTAAAGACAAACCTCTAGTGTGCTGCAATTGTACACATGACAAAGTAATAAACTTTCATCATAATGCCAGAGATAACTCCTGCCAAGCACACATCAGAATTAAAACAAATATAATTAACAGAACCGAATATGGAACTGCACAATAATTCAGAAATCCGTTTTATGCAATATAATAGTGGCAGAAGCATTGCCGCGACATCTATCCTTACTTCTAAAATGAACAACTTTGATTTTATTATTGGTCAGGAGCCATACACTAATTCATAATCGCCCAGCTTGTTTACCATCTACTTCGATTGCTCTCACTGGAACCTTGGAGTACCCGTAGGCTGTTAACATACTTCCCAACAATGATCTGTCTCTCCTTCACCATCAAAATATCAGTTCCCAATACATTTGCTGTACGGAATTCATCATTGACTGCAGTAGATATATTATTATAAACTTCTACTGTCCCAAAGACATTGATTGTGATGAAATTTTTGCAAATATCCAGAACTGTATTAACAAATTTCCCAACGCCTATTACGTTTTAGCTGAAGACACTAATGCAAACTCCCCAACCTGGGGAGGAGAGCAATTGGATCAAGGATGTCAATGGGAGGAATTCCTAGCTCAAAATGATCTCTTAATGATGAACGATCCAACATCCCCTCCTACGTTTGTCTCCAGTCGCGGGCACAGCTGGATAGACATCACAGCTTGCTCCATTGGATGTGCCCCTGGGATTTTTGGTTGGAAAGCTCTCAATGACTCATTAGACGACCACGCAATCATAACATTCAACATTGGTGTCAGCACTGATAATCACAGACAACCTAGGCTAAAATTCAATCTCAAACATGCAGATTGGAGCAGTCTGACTACCTTCCTACATGACAATCTTGTTCATTGTTACCACAGGGACCCGCATATTACTAGGGAAAATATTGAAAGGAATATCCTAACTATCAACACGGCTTGTAACTTATATATCCCTAAATACAAAAATAAGCGTAGACCAGTCCCTTGGTGGACGAAAGATCTAAAAAGTCATCGCCTCACCGTGATCAGATTAAGAAAAAGGTTTCAAAGGTGCCATAGAGAACCGCAAAGAACAAATGCTAAACAACAATTCCTAGTGCAACGTGCACATACAAAATGTAAATCAGAAGGGCTAAACAGAAATCGTGGAAAAAATTTTGTGCTGCAGCCGCTAAGAGCCCTTGGGGGTTTATTACTCGGTACTGTACTGAGAAAATAAAAAAACGACAAATACTGTACTCCTCAACTGCTGGGCAGAACTTTTTCCAAGCTGCCAATGAAAAAATGAGTCAATTCTGTTTACAAGACAATACACAGGAGGACACAGATTTCCACCAATGGGTACGGAATCAAGTTAACAGTGAAATCAATACGTTGAACATCCTGGATTTTCAAATACATGAGACTAACCGTGCTTTTTCCAACATGAACAATAAAAAAGCCCCTGGATGTGATGATGTCTCACCAGAATTGACTAAACAACTCTGGAACATCGTAACTACCCATCTCTTAGAAATGTTTAATGCATGTCTCCACCACAAAATCTTTCCTCGATCGTGGAAGCATGCCAGGCTTGTGCCAGTTCCCAAACCCGGTAAAACAGGAGACTGTAGGCCTATTTCACTGCTGCCAGTTCTTGGCAAAGTACTTGAGAGACTGATCACTAAAGGCTCTTCTGGCACATGGAAAGGCACCAACATCTTCATGAACAACAATTTGGCTTCAGGCCACAACATTCTGCCAAAGATGCCATTGAAAAACTTATTCAAAGAACTAAAAACCTTCTTGAGGAATATAGATATGTGATGGCCATTAGTGTTGACAGCGCTTGGTGGCCTATGATTTTACTCTGTCTACGAGAAAGAAATTGCCCGTCTAACATATATGGTATAATCAAAGACTATCTAAGTGAAAGAACTGCTGAGCTAATTTGTGGGGCACATAAGGTTTACAGGGATGTGGTCCGGGGCTGTCCACAAAACTCTGTGGACCTCTTCTGTGGATTGTCCTTTTTGATGATTTTATGAAACAAAATTTTCAGTCAGCAGGAAATTATAGCATACGCTGACGATGTGATTGTACTGTTCGGTGGTAGGTTGGTTGGTTGGTTTGTTAAGGTTTTTTGGCACAAAAGCCATATAGGCTATGCTGCGCCATGCCAAATGGTAAAATTAAAAAAATCATATATACATATATTAAAAATTAACAACAAATAACAATAACAAACATATACAACAGTAACAATAAATAAAAACAAGGTATATAAAAGAATAAATGAATGAATAGGTAAATAAATAAATATACAAATTTGTTTATAAATATTAGTGACTTTCAGAAAGTCTAGTAAATTATTGACATTTGGCCTTTGGCCAAGGATTTCTGTCAGACAAGCATTTCCAAAATATTGTCTATGCCTTCTCTTGAAAGCAGAGCAATTGCACAGCATGTGTTTTACACTTAGGGTGCAGTTGCAATACTCACATACTGGCTGGTCTTCACCCTTCAAAAGGTATAAATGAGTCAACCGAGTATGCCCAATTCTCAAACGAGTAAGAATTACTTCAAATCTCCTGTCATAATGTTTGTTACGTGTCCAATTTTCTATATTTGGCTTGATCTCGTGTAGTTTATTGTGGATTTGTGCATTCCACATGTTTTGCCATCTCTCCGCTAGTCGTTTTTTAACTACTAGCTTCAAGTCACTTCCTTCGAGACACATTTCATGCTGTGAAGGACTAGCTGCCTTTGCAGCTGCATCAGCTTCTTCGTTCCCTCTTATGCCAACATGCCCAGGTACCCAACAAAATTTTATAGAGAGATTCCTCGTAAAAAGATGGCAAATAAGATTATGAATTTTAATCACTATAGAGTGAGAACTAGGTTCGCACGAGATCAAAGCCTGAAGTGCACTAACAGAGTCGGTGTAGATCACACAGCAACGATGACCTTTCCTATTTACATGCTTTAAGGCTAAATAAATAGCATGCAACTCTGCAGAAAAGATGGAAGAATTCA